ACACACACAAAGATTTCTGCATGTTGAAGAGTTTCAGCCTTAAAACCCCATTCTGATCAAATCAAATTGCACTATAACCCTTTGTGAACCCTCCTTTTCATAGACTTGTTCCTAGATCCACAAGACCAAATCCTATATCTAAACTCTATAAACATCAATTCCTTTTCATTTTTCCTTCAAAATTATTATTACTGTAATATTGATGATACTTGTCCTACATCAATTGGCATCAAAGCACCTGTTTGTTATCTGTCTTCCTACATCAGGTGGCTTCCATGGATATGCACATGGGAATAGGCATCACATTTATAGTGTAATATTGAGCTCTATATGATCCAAATATGTGAAACCTAGTATCTACCCTTTCAAAGTTGTGATAGTAAGATTTAAACAGTGTAACTTGTGTTTTCAACTTTACTTCTTCACTTCTTCTATAGGATATTGTCATATTTGTTCATCAATCAGTTTTTTCTCCCTGCCCCCAAAAAAGAAAGTAAACAAAAGAAAATTTGCTTGTTGTTTATTTTCCTAGAAAACTTGTAATATAATAGCTTGGTCATCTTTTATAAACTGATGCCAACTAAAGAGATAAATATGTTTGCAGAGTGGGAGAAGACACTGCAACTTATTGGTGTTGTTGGCCTTGGTCAGGTACTTATTCTTTATTCTCAGCTAGTCTTTTCCAATAATTCTCTAAAAATACACTTTCCTTTCATTCATGCCAAAGATGTTTCTTTTATCAAAGGTTTGGCATTTTGGATAAAACAAATATTAATGGAGAAGAGTTTTTATAGACATGAAAAAGACCCCTAGCCTAATGCTTTACAATATACCACCTTCCAAACCCAAAAGATAGTACTATCTATCTTCAATTTAGAACCTTAAACACTTTAAGAGCAAGTGTCCAGACATTTAATAAAAAAGCATAAAGATATGATAAATGTCTATGAGCATTTTTGAGAGCTCTTCTATTTTTCTCCTTCCAAACAGTCCAACATATGCATAAGGACATAAGGAACCAAAGACCATAAAAAAGCACCCCTAGGTCCCACAGAGCCAGAAGGCCATGAGTTAATTGCTTCCCACATTGTGAAGGATGAGATCACAATATCTAAAGATAGAGCTAAAGAGCTTCCAAAGGATATGGATCCATGATAAAGGGAGAGGAATTGTGATTAGGTGTGCACATGGTTTGAACTGAGGTAAGTTTAAGCTTGACTGGTTTATATTATCAGGCAGCAATGTTAGGCCCAAGTCTAGGTCAAAACCAGGTAACCATGGTGGGATTTCCTTATTGGTAACTAACTATGTTGGGTTTATCTTGTTATCATTGACAACTGAAAGTCCAAATTCCATCCTCTTGTATACTGTACCTAAGTCCTTGACTTAATCCTGTCTGGGCTTGGATCCAGTTAGTCCTATCCAGCATTTAAGGCTATTATCCAATGTTGGTCCCAACTATCCAGGGAATTTTGAGAGTGGGATGGATATGGACATAAGATTTGGCATCTTCTTGCATGAATTGCTCATTCTCATACTTTGTCCTGTGTTCTCATTAAGTGGTTCTACCCATCATATGTGCATTTCAAAATGTGAGAACCAGTTAGGTTTGAGTCTACACGTGGTTTACCAATGTGATATTGGTCTGTAGAATGCCAATATGTTGAGGCCCTTTATATGCAAATCCTGCTACTGCACTGCCAGAAATTATGGTCAATGGCCTACAAAATATCTC